TCTTGATAATACAACTAACTACTCTATTATATCATCTTCATCACTATACACTATCTTTTAATAATTTTATTTTATTATAGTCTCTCTTTACTTTAATTTTTTTTCTTTTCTGTTCTTTTTTATCTACTTATTTAATGTGTCTATCTTTAAGAGTTTGTTCTCATTTCTTTTATCATGATATTTTCAAATGATTTCAAAGTATTAGAAGGTGTTAAAATACTGTAATTTATAAAGAGTTTTTATATTCTGAGCTGGAATTTTCTGATTTTGCATATCTGAAATTAATAAATGTATAATAGTTAACTCTATAGATATTAGAAAAACTCTGAGAATTAAAAGTTCTCAGGTAAATGTCATAGTCTCTGACTATATACATCTATAATTGAAGAATAATAATAATAGTAATAATAATAATAATAATTCTCATTTAATGTGAGATAGTATAAGCTGAAGTTTGTGAAGTATAATATAAGATCACTTACTTATTTACACTCAGTAAAGTGTTTATAATACTTATTCTATATATTCACTTTTTCAAAGTTATATAACATTCACTTAAAAAACTTGTTCTATATTTATAAGAATGAATATTGCTCTGAGTCTATAAGATTCATCTTTTCATCAGTTATTTATAATAACTTTACTTTTCTATGTAGAAACATAGCAGATCTTAAGACTTGTTAAAATTCTATTAACTATCTGTCTGTGAGTTTATACTTAATCTGATAATATGATCACATCTGACTTAGTTAGCTGATTAGAGCATTCTTTTTTCAGTTACTATTAATACTTAATGACTTTAGCAGATTATCTGACTTAATATATTTCATACTTGAATTCTTATCATGTGCAGTAGTCTCAGATAATATGTACACTTCTGAAAAGATTATCTCTCTATATATTTTAGACAAATCAACTTTTCCGAGTAAAATACTCTGTAATATGACCTCACATGATATTATATACACTTTATCAAATTTATTTGATAAGATTGAACAGTCAGCTCTGCAGTCTATACAGCTCTGATATTAATCTTTATTCTTTTTTTTATTCTGCTTCTTTCATACATTCTCTACAGTACTTACATTTCTATACTCTTCTCTATGTTCATTGTGTTAAATTCTCTGTACATGATCTCATGTGATGTATACATATTTTCTTTGATCAGATGAGATAAGAGTGACTCTGCAGTCTGTACAGCTCTGATTAATCTGATAATAATGATGAAAATGATACAGAGTGAAAGAGAGTGATCACAGTGATAGAGATAATCAGAGTGATAAGAGAGAGATAGAAAGATAGAGATAGAGAGTGAAAGTAATAGAGAGAGCTGCGGAGCAGTAGAAGCAGTGATAATAATAGAGAGAATAGAGAGTGAAAGAGATAATAGAAGTAGTAAGAGAGAGTAGAAGTGAAGAGAGTGAAAGAAGTGAAAGAGATAATAAGAGAAGAGTACAGTGAAAGTAATAGAGAGAGCTGCGAAGCAGTAGAGATAGTAGTAGACTAATCACTGAGATTATAAATTTCATATTTAATCTCATTTAATCTGATCTCATACATTTCTTGATGTGAATCTCACTGAGACTAGTTATTAAAAAAACATATAAAGTGACTATATATCAGATCTTAAAATAAAATCATGACTTGAAAAAAATGAGAAAGTAATCTCATTTAATCTTATTTAGTTTCATTCTTAGTATAAAGTTACTATTTTTAGACATTTTAAGATTTTTTTTAGACTATTTTTAATTTTTTAAAAAGTAACACTTTTTGATAACACTTAAATGAGATTTAAAGTCATTTAAAGCAATAAAAATAATTTAAATTGAGAAGTAAAAATCATAATCTCATTTGAAAAATGTAATAAGAGTAGAGAGTAAGTCTTACTGAGACAGTATAAGACTACTATCTAATGTTAAAACTGTGTAATGAGATCAGTTAAATTGATAATGAGACTATCAAAAAATCTGATTCTGATCTCAGACACGGTCACATGGTCAGTCTAGATGATAGAGACAGTGATGATGATAAAGAGAGTAGAGAGAACTACAGAGCGGTAGAGATGATAATGATGATAGAGATAATAGAGATGAAGAAGAGGAAAGAGATGAAAGAGATGATAGAAGAGAAAAGAAGTGAAAGAGATGATAGAGAGATTAGAGTGAAAGAGATGATAGAGAAGAGAAGAAGTGAAAGAAGTGATAGAGATGATAGAGAGAGTAGAGTGAAAGTGATAGAAGAGACTGCGCAAGCAGCAAAGCAAGCGTAAGTGAGTATTTGATGCTTGTAAATAATCATAATAAGATCTTCAGATTCAGTGTAATTATCTGTCTGTATAAACATTCAATCTCTCACTGCAGATCTATGACCTGATTTTCTCTATTCTTATTAATTGTGATAATTACATCAGTAAAGCTCTTCATAGTTAATACTTAATTTATAATAAATATTAATTGTTACTTAACTTTCATCTCAGTCTGTCACTGTGTATACAAGACTTCAATTTTATTTTGAATTCTCATACATGTACAGAGTTTCACTTTCAGTTTGATAATTTTTACTGTTTTTCTCACTACTTTGAGTAAATCTTCTGAGAGATTCTGTATATCTTTCAGTTCAAATAGTAGAGAAAAGTGTTATTTATATTAATTAGAGAAGATGTTTATTTTGATAATTTCTCATTAATTATACAATATCTATTATTATATTATTATATAATTTCTGTTATTATTATATAACTTCAGTGATAATTATCTCTCTTTTATTCTTCTAAGTAAAGAGCAGACTTCTTTAAATCTGATTTACTACTCTTATTTTCTTTTTCTCATATCTTATTATATTTGCATACATAATATTTATCTGAGTGTGAAGTTTTCTCTTAACAAGTAGAGTAGTATTAATTAGATACTCTTTCACTTATCACTTCTTTATACACTATCTTTTTAAGATATTTTTGAACCACACTAACATGATAACTATAAATCACTTTGTAGATGAAATTATCATATTCTGAAGAAGTCTGCACTTCTCACTAGTTTTTAGACATGCTATTAGATGTGATTCAAAGATTACTTGAGTCTAGACTAGCCGCCGGGATCATGAATTTCACATTTGGTTCCATTTGATCTGGTCTCATACATTTCTTGGCGTGAATCCCGCTGGGACTGGCTATCAAAAAAACATGTAAAGTGACTATATATCAGATCTTAAAATGAAACCATGACTTGAAAAAAATGAGAAAGTGGTCTCATTTGGTCCCATTTAGTCTTATTCTTGGCATAAAGTTACTATTTTTAGACATTTTAAGGTTTTTTTTAGACTGTTTTTAATTTTTTAAAAAGTAACACTTTTTGATAACACTCAAATGAGATTTAAAGTCATTTAAAGTAATAAAAATAATTTAAATTGAGAAGTGAAAATCATGATCTCATTTGAAAAATGTGACAAGAGTAGACAGTAAGTCTCACTGAGACAGTATGAGACTACTATCTAATGTTAAAACTGTGTAATGGGATCAGTCGAATTAGTAATGAGACTATCAAAAAATCTGGTTCTGGTTCCAGACACGGTCACACGGTCAGTCTACTTGAGTCAGTGTATGATTACAGATATACATCAGCTTCTTATATATATAATACTTAATTAGTGACTGCTAAAGCTTCTTTTACATTTATAAGCATGTTTAGAGTTGATTATATTATTATTCAGTAATTATACATTCTTTCAAATTATAGAGTAATGAAATTATTAAATTTTTTAAATTTATCATTAATATAGTTCTTTTCACTAGTAAAAATACAGATTATATATAAGAAAATAATAATTTCTGAAGCTGTTAAAAAAAATAAGAAGACTTATAAAAAGAATATCACATTATAACACACTATTTTTAAAAAATAGAAGAAGACAGATATTATAAAGAAGAGAATAAAATAAAAGATAACTTATTAAATAGTAAAATAGTAAAAAGATATAAATAAAACTATAAGATTATTATTATTATTATTATTATTCTTTCATTATACTTATATGCAAGTGAAGCTTATAATAAGTTCTTACATAATATTAAATACAGATCAAGTGTTAATTATACAGAAGAAAATACAGATATTAAGATTATATCAAGATAATAAGAACATAGAAAAATACAAAGAAATAATAATTAAATACATATAATACTAACTTCTCAGCTCACAAACATAGAGTGATTCATTGAAGTGATTTGTACACCTCTGTATTTATTAGAAATCTGAGGTGCTTGAGTTCCAGATTTAATGTATTCCCTGCGGGTTTCAAACTCACATGTCTTGAGTTCCCACGCCAAGGTGCTACTGAGTGGCCGCATTAATTATTCAGTCATCAGGGCATAAAACTATAAGAGTCACTTAAAAGCAGATTGAAAACAAGCTTACAAATATAAGAAAGACTTGAGAGTAAAAAGAGAAGAAAGAATAAACTGCTGTATAATAATAATTATAGTTAAATAAGAAAAAAAAATTGAAGAATTCAAAAATTATCTTTCTAATTAAAAAAATAGATTCTTGATTTTATAAAAAGTACTTAAATCATGTTTTTAGAGCTCTGTCAGAGTACTTATAGATTTATTATCAGAGAAATCTGATAATATTACAATCTTTACTAATTTAATAACTGTTTACTTACTAAATCTATCTTCACTCAAGATTTCATATTCTGAGTAAATTATTAAGTTAAATAAACAACTACAGAATTACCTATATAGTTTTATGTATAATTTTCTATATATATTTTCATCATATAATATATCATCTTAAAATCTAATTGCATTGTTGAGATATCATTGAAAATATTTCATCATAGTGATGGTGAAATGGCCGGCGTTGGGTGTAAGCGGGCGTTGGGTGGCACGTTACTAACTAGCCAATCATATTTTGGTGCTGTCCCCTATACCAACGTCAAAGTCCACCCAAAAGGTTGAGATCGTAACTACGGCTTTGACCGCCGCTAACTATCCTACTATCTTATAGTTTGCTGCTGGAATTCTTGTCAATGCCAATGCATCGAGTTATTTCCACTCCATCCTACAAAATAGGCTATCGTCAGCATCGCGCTCATCGGCTCAGTCACGAAAAGCGGGGGCAAAAGAGGGCGAACACGGGAATTTTGATCAAGTCGGATGAGAACTTACAGGTTCTCCGGTAGGCTCAAAGCTATTTACCAGCCTGCTCTCATATATCAAATCTGGGTTCCCAAAGATATCAACTGACGCCAATGCGTGTCCTCTTGAGTTTCCAAAGCGGTTGACCGCGGAAGTAGGGAACCCGTCAAGATCATACCCTCGCGATGATGTCGGATTGGCTGCTGCTGCCGCCGTTCTCTTCTCCTCAACACTGGTCCGCACATACCTAAGGGATGGCGGATTCCCTGGAGAGATGACATTGTCTGCCGCCAAGACGCTCCCAGGGACTATCATGGCGAGTTGTTCGCAGAGTTTCAAATCGGCCACGTATGCCGGTTTATAATGGTCTAGGAACATCATATCGATGCGGTTAACCACCCCCACTGGTATGGAGTTTGAAAAGGGAGATATCGCTGGGGCCAATTACGACCTCGACAAAATCGCCCAGCCAGCCAGGTCCAACAGCATTCTCGATACTGCGCCAAAACCAGGGCTCCGCTCCAAACTGTAATATCTCTTCCCCTCCCGGCGGCGGACTGCATCCCCAAAAAGGAGCGCAGAATACCCGACATAGCCGCCCAGCTCAATCATTACTTGAGGCTTAACTGCTGCTATCAAGTCGGTGACGATCGACCCTTTGGCCGAGCCGACGTTCATGAGGTAGCTCTTATCTCTTCCATATTGGTCGATTGCGTCTATGATATTCGAGGGAGAGCCGCGGAGTTGTTCGAGATTAGGTAGATTGTATATGTACCGAAGCAGTTCGATCTCTCTTCCATCCTCAGACTGTACGCCGGTGGATGTTAGCGAACGGACTGTGCTCAGTTAAGGCAATACTGACAGGAGTAGCCGGTTTTGGCAAATATGGTCGGTCAACAACTCTCATTTTGAAATTTGGGCTGCACGAGATGCGGTTCCTCGCAACGAAGAAAAAGATATATATCTGCGCCCGTCAACAACAGTGACACATTAGTTATCATGGCCAACAACAGAAGGGAAGGGGGGGAAGCAGGAAACCCTGCTTATATAGCAAAATTTCCCTTTCACTTGCCTATATCCCGTGAGTATATGCAACACCGTGATGACACCCTCAGGGGATGGAGATCACAGTTTTGAATTCCTTAGCTCCGATACAAGGACGATTCAACTGGGGTTCTCTTCCTTTTATATGCCTCCGGCCATGTAAACAGCTCCACATACAGGGTTCAACGATCCTGGTAGACAGTTCATGGAAAGCAAGCAGAAAATTTCAGGCCAATCTCTTGGCCCTAAAGAGGGCATGATGGGGGTATTCCTGTGCAATCTTATACCATATTTTAGCCATGTCTGTCTATCGATCTTTTCTGGTCTTTCCTTGGCTCGAATTCCGCATCCTGCCGTTTTGCATACGCTGTAGTGTCTCTTCCATCTCGTCACACCAAGCTGCTAATGCAGGTAAAAGCCCGGATTAACTGCCCTACCATGTTCTGCTGCACACCCCCCATTACCGATTTCCGGGTGTGCTAGTAGGAAATAATACTGGGCAGATTTCTTATGCGGAAGAACGGGTTTCCTGCTCGTTCAACTCCACTCATCATCTGTGTAACACAGTGCTTCAGCAGCTCAAGTTTTGCCATAAGAAAGAGGAATAATAATAGACAATATACGTACGACGTTGACCCAATGTTGAAACACAGCTACAACAGCCGCAGGACACCTTGCGAGAAAATATCTTGGAAGACGCCTGATTCATTGCACCGGGATGGAATAGACAGAGATGAGCAAGGATGCTCTGACAAATTTGCCGGTGGCGTAAATAAAAGTAGGGCATGGCATTGCTTGCAGTTGAAATGCCCGTCTCCTGCCCGTCATACTATACATACATAGCGGGTAACGTGTAGCGCGGTGAAAGGGTGTAATAGTGTAGCGTACTTACGATGCTGACTAGAAGTTTACAAGAAGTTTGATAAACGTGGTTATCCGCCGGGAGCTGAAGGCCGGATTACTTCAATTAGAGCAACTACCCACTGGTTAGCAAGTGCTTTTTTTTATTTTTTTATTTTCCTTTTTGACTGTGTTTCGTCAGCCAACAACCGTTCGTACATGTACATGTATATGTAGTACTCCGTACATTGGTGAGACGAGGGAGGTTGAATTCACAGCATCAGTTAGCAACCAACGCGGCTACGGAATGTATGTCCACCGGTGCATGTCCATGCGCGGTACGGTACCAGGACGAGCTAAGTATATGCCCGCTCTCAGAAGTTAGTTATAAAATTATGGAAAGAGGCATGTTGAATATTCAAATATTCCCCCTCCTTTCTTCGCCGCATAACTCTACTTTCTGCGGTTCAACATGGCAGACATGCCTGTTTGATAGTGTGGGCTAAGAGAGCTAAGCTCACCATAATCGCCCCAAGAGTTGTTTAGCGTTCTCTCTTGGCATTGACCGCTGCCCCGATTATTTAGCCCTTGTAAACTCTCCCCCGCGAAACTCCTCCGCATCTTTGTTCGTAAAAGCGTGGTTAGGGTAGTACGTAGGATGTAACGCAAGGCAAACCATTTTATATTCATGGCCCTTGGGGGGGGTCTATATAACCCGTGTAAATTATGTAATTCTACGAAGAATGTGCACACCACCTACGATTGAGGAATGCATATAAACATACTGCTAGGTACTAAAAGTTTGCTTATTCCCGGTTCTCCTCCTTCCTAGGATACCCGTTGATGTGTTAGGTATATGTGGGAATGACGTAAAGGAAAAATGTAGCCGGTACTGAGGGAGGGAGCTTTTGAAGACAAAAAAGAGAAAAGGATTGAAGGATCAAGAATAAATTTCAGTGTTGTACTTCAAGTCATCCTTCGCCTATGAACGCCTAGGAAGTGGAATGTTAGGGGTGCGATGGTGGGGCTAAGAATGTATCACAAAATGGTATCCTTGATCTGGCTTTAAATGATCATGAGAATGCTGGCTATCCTGCAGGATGAAGATCGTCTGGTAAACGATGAGAAATAACATCGCGAAAGAAATATGGGATAGTCGGGATTTAAGGACATAAGAGAAGGGGAGAAAACGGTTGTCCAGGATTAATGCCAGGAAGAAAAAATATGTACACAAAAAAGACAACACTAGTGTATAATCGGGTTATTCTTTACGTGGATGGGGAGGAGCCGGATAGGATCCAGGCGAATCAAGCTCAAATACTTGGGCGGGATGTCCTTCGGCTGGTGAGTCAAGCTCATATCGGGAAGGTACCGGAGCCTGCGCTGGTAGCTCTCTAGGTTCTTGTTCGATGCGCATGTATGGGTCATCCTTTTTGTCAGTAAGAGCTGGCTGGGATGGGGGTGGTTCAGGATAATAGACGGAGGGAGCTGTGGGAACGGCTGGAGAGGCGTTGAATCGATCGGTCGGGGTCTTCTTTCGCTTGTTTCGTCGAAGGAAGAAAATAGCGGCAGCGATGACGGCGACTCCTCCGACGCCGCCAACGACTCCGCCGGCAATCGCGCCTGTATTGGAGGACTTTTCTTCGGTTGAAGGGGGAGCTGTCGGTTGCGGAGTTCCGGTCGGCTCTGCTGGTAGCGGTTCATCTGTGATCTCCGGCCGCCTGGCTATAGTTTGAGAAAATATGCTCGCGACTTCGCTATTAGGCCATCCGCCCTCCGGTTCCTTCAGTGTAGCTTTTCCGGTTCCACTGTGTTTGGTAAAGAAAATTAGTCTGGAAACAAACTATTGAGGTATATAATAAGTGAGGAAGAAAGAAGAAACATACTCCCCGCCAATTACATCGGAGACGATCTGAGGCACAGTGTATTTAGTGTCGCGATCGAATTGCTTTTGCCATTGAAATGTGCTGGTATCAAGCACCCGGATAGGTGGGTAATTTCGACTGCATCCCTTTTGCTGTTTGTCGTCTTTCCGAGTTGTACCCCCAATCACTACCATTTCCCCGTCTTTCCAACTGACACATTTATGGCTGTCGCGACCAACCCCATCTGCCTTCCATGGTTCTAGGCCAGTCGTAGGGGCACGTATCCAACGAAAAGATGGGAGGGTCAGGACATATAGGTCATTATATGAGGTTGCATTCTCCCAGGTACGGCTGCGACCACCATACATATGCACCTGGAACGAGGAGTCGTCTGGAGCGGAAGAGACAGCTGTGCAAAATGCGGTTCTCGCGCTCGGGATGTCTCCAGTAGCTTCAATTTCGTACCTATTGACCCAGTCAGCTTCTGAATCCCTGATTCTAATATCTCTGAGTATTTAAATCCGACCAAACATACCAGGTACTAGAGTCGATATCATACACACCGATCTTATCCATCTCCCTGAAATCTCGGCTTGTTTTGGTTTCGTTCGTTCCTTTTTTCGAAGTCTTTCAATAGTGTTAGGCATAGCACATACAAGACCCGCTGCGCGGCAGAACAAATGGCACATACATCATAACCACCGAACGCAACCAGCATCCCTTTCTTTCCTAGCCGTACATAATCCATTCCCCCATTGGCTATCCGAGGTTCTCCGACGGCGTCCTCCCTATCCACCTTAGTCACGTTAGTCCATTGAAGGTTGGCGCTATCCGTCGCGTTGAAGACCAAAGTGCCCGTAATGGGGAGGTCCCATCCTCCCGTATAGAAAGAGAGGTTGGATTCCGGCGCAACAGCAGAAAGCCCAGCGAACCGGGTTTCCAGATTTAATTTGCCGCCAGCAACTACTGCGCGACTCCATGTTCGATCTTTTGCATTGTACGACCACATCCAATCATATCTGCTCGAACTCGACAAGCCAGCATATATGTATATGGAATTTCGCGCGGCGAAAAATGCACCTCCGGAAACTTCATGAGGCGCGGAATTTGGAATATCGGTCCTATGCAGAGTATGTGGAGAGATACCGCCTTCGACGTTAAACGTAGTGTTGAGGTCGAGCCAATAAAGTTGGTTCACTTTTACCATATTCCATTAGCAACGAGCTAAACTCGACAGGTTGCAGACAAGATCTCAAAATACCAAATGCTTCATTATGTCCATCTTGAATCGTTACCTTCCCAGCCATCATAAATACTAAGTTACCCAGAAGGACCGCTTTGGCACCAGTTAGCATGACTACATCAGGTTGAGGGAGGAAATGCGCGTATCCGGCTTACTTCTCCCCTCTGTAAAAACACAGAGGTCCCCCGCCGACCGCGGTGCAAGAGCCGCCTCCGCATGGCATCCTGCAGCGAGTAGCAATGGGGCAAGGCATGATCTAATTGAGAACCGCATTCTTCAACAAGAAGAGACCCTCAATAAAAATCCGCAGAGAGTCGTGCGGAATAGTATCTTGAAGACCGTTCATCTGCAATGCCCATTCACATCGAAAAGTTGGGTAGAAATGAAGTGGGAAAAAGCTTGAGAGTTGCGAGGAGAATGGGTGCAACCAAAGGGGGCGGTTGCAAGAGCTGAGGAAATCAACGCCGTCGCGAGGCTAAGTGGATTTAATAATCTTTTCCCCATGCTTGAACTCGTATCCAGCTTGACACTTGTGCAGATCGGGCTTGGTTTAGGGGCCATCAGTGTCACTGGGCAGTGGGCGTCGTGGCTGTCCCGACCAAGCAAATGGATGCCGAAGACTTGGCGAGCTGCATTTGAAACGTCCAAAGCATACTGACAATTTACAGCATATGGAAGTGAAACATGAATGGCCAGCTTCAGAACCGAGGAAACCTCGTATTATTGGGTGGTGAATAGGTATAACGATTGTTACGGGTCTCAAGACTAAGGAGATGTTTGGTCCGAGAAGGATTTTAGCGCCGGTGTCTAATTGAGCCTCCCTCGTAACTGACTAAGCGGGGCTGGCGCCGTTAGGAGAAACTAACACCTCTTCATTTTTAAGATAGTAAGTTCATCAGCGATTCAAATTCCAGACGTTTCACACAGCCTGTGGCTCCGGGTCAATCGTGTGGGATATGAAGAATGCTAACCAACGGCCCCCTTCAACCTTGGGAATATGCAGAGACTAACTTGATATATCTCGACACCCAGGATTCAATCCGATACCACAGAAACGGACCGCACAGTTCAGCATTGGGGAATCGATGAGAGAGCCCAGAAGAGGAGTGGCTACTGAACTAATTTAACTCACCAACCAATCCGCGACCTGCCCGGTTCTCGCAAGGTTTAAACATGGAAGGCTTCGTCGCACGCACATGCCAACCAAGCCACCGCAAGCCATCGGAGGCTTTGTCAGTAATTCTCGTTTGGATGATGGTTATTTTGGCTTCAGCCACCTGCCTTGCTTAGCGACTGATCTGCCGCTGGGCTGTGCCTGGCTTCACTGGCAACAAGCAAAAAAACAAAAAAAAAAAAAAAAAAAAAAAAAAAAAAAAAAAAAAAAAAAAAAAAAAGAAAGGGGGTGGCTCTCGAAGACAAACTCCCCAGCACAACCATTCATGTTCTAGATTTCCAACTCGGTAGGTAGAACAGTAGGCAGCAGAAATAAACATGGCGGACAATCGCGAGAAAGGGCTTCTGTGATGTGGGTTAACCAACTAGCGGGCCATCCCGGCAACTCTAATCTGACAAGCCAACCATCAGAGACTGAAGCGGCACACAACCCTGTGTGAAGCAGTGAGAGGCTGTCGCTAATAAATCAATTAGCTTTAGAGGCGTCGCGCCCTTCAAATTGCGATCACATGCAAATTGAAGGCCTGGCTATGTGCAAGGACAATGTCGGCATAACTCTTTGGGATAAACAGAATGAAAATAAAAGTGAAAAATATGAAAAATATGAAGAAAGAAACACATCTGTCAACCTCATCTAGCCTGGAGGAAACAATGCCAGAAGCTGCCTCTCTCTCGATGAGTGGAGGACCAATGAGGGAAAGTTGGAAGAACCCTTGCAATGGTCCCCCGGTATTGCAGGGTGCCTAAGGTCGCTGGTTGTGAGTTCGTGAAGACTCTGAAGAGAAACACCTCAGCCGAGAAGCCGTTTTGCATTCTGCAACCCAAGGAGAAACTAAGACAACAAGTTGCGTTGCTCGCGTGTGGTTGACTAAATGGTCGAGACCCAACTCAGAAAGTGGGAACGAATTCTAGCATAAAAGCTTGGCCCTCTCCAGTTTAACGGGATTGTTTGATTATTAACGTCACACAAGAACTCATTATAAGCTCTGCTTTTCAAAGCCAACCGCCCCACCACGAACTCGCTCAATTGTTCGAATAAGAACCTGCCGATAGATCCATCGAATAGCTCTCGATCATACAAGCATTTTGACCCCATCGCCGACCGCATACCCCGTGTGGTGGTGGAATTATCCAGCCAAACGTGAACCAGACGTGGTTTGAAACTCCTGTGTGGGATTATCCCCCGTCCACCCCTACCACACCACAACCCCGGGTCAAATTGCCATACAAATTGTAAGGTGAAGAGACCTAGCCATATGCGCCAATCTTCTTGATTTTGGAAGATCCCTGACCTGTAATTGTGGAGATATCTGAAGAACAACCTCCGTGAAAACCCTTCGTCTGTCTTTGATGTTCCAAAACATCAACACCAAGTCTCACTCACATACCGCCCTTCCCAATCTGGCCCATCTCTGGTAGAAAGATACAAAAAGATACCTCAGCAATAGTATTTAGCACATAATCAATGGACAACCACATACATCTGAAGTGTAACCTCCCATGAAAACCCCTGTCTGTCTTTGATGTCTCAGGACATCAATGTCAAGTTCCTCTCATGTATCACCCCTCTCAATCTGGCCCATCTCCGGCAGAAAGATACAAAAAGATACCTCGGCAACAGTATTCAGTACAAAACTGGCAGACTACTATAAAATCAGTCTAACTCAAGATCTGACTGATGTTAGGACTTGGTTACATGGATATCAGAGTGACAGCAGCTTCATATTAGAATGTAATATTACTGATTCTTGAAGAAGAGAACTAGATAGTAGAGAAGCAGAGAATGAGTATAAGACACTGCAGCTTCTGTGAGTCACATAATGTGTATATAAGCATGCTTCAAGTTCTAGGCCTTACACTCTGCCTTCTCACCTCTCTTATCCCTCTCTCAGAGTGGTGAGGTTATTATATTATACATATGATATAGGTAGTGAGGCATACAGACAATTAGAGAATTAGAGTATACAGTATAAGAAGTGAAATCAGCAGAACACACTCTGTTCTGTTCTGAAGTTCTAATGAGACACACTCTGCTCTAGAGTTTATATGAAGTAGTGAGAGTCTTCAGTTCTACTTTTGAAACTTATAACAGAACATGCTCTGTTCTACTTCTTAACAGAATATATTCTGCTCTATTAAAAATGAAGAGACTTGTTATAGATTATTTTCATAATAGTAATTAACACTGTGATATTATGTCTGAAAAAAATCAAGTATATCAGTATATACAGAATCTGCTTATAAGATGTCTGATACTGAGTTTATTACTGATGATTATCAAGATCTCATTGAATAGCAGGTATAGAAGATATCAAGATGCAGCTGAGTATTAAAGAGATAGTCATAGTCTATTTATTTATCAAATTAAGAACTGTGACTCACTTAATATATGAAATATTTGATTCAGTTCTCTCAGATAAGCTTGATATCAAGTATCTTCTAAATGTCATTATTATTATCTAGATTGAGATGTAAAATCTCTAAGAAGATATACTGATTATTGAGAATGAATAAGCAGTGTGACTCTAGAAGTGAGACATGAAATACATTATATATATAGTAGAAAGATGACAGGTTCAGTTGATATATCTGTATACTGATATGAATATGCATAGTGAAGAGTTTAAGAAACTTGTGATTTAGCTTATAGTTGAGATAACATATTTTTATATTCTTCATATTAAGAAAAACAAGATTATCTATCTGAAACTCACAGAGCTTATTATAAGTGTAATACTGTATGAGATTCTGAGAATGAAGAAGATGATTATAAGTCTCTTACTAAGTATCTTTAATAAGAACTGTACAGTGTTCTGCTGCAGTGTCATCTGATTCTGAGAGAGAGAAGTTAGATATAATAAGAGATGTAAGATAACATTCTAGATTCATGAAGAATAAGATGAGATTATAAACAGAATGTACTGAATTACTGTAAGTAAATTCAGCTAAGATAAGAAGATCTACTCAGTCATTCTATAAGTAGATAATATATAGATATAGATATACTTTCAGTTCACAGTTCTTACTTTCTGTCTGATTATCAGTCTGTGCATGATAGATAGTGAAGAGATGATGATTAGTATCAATAAGATTGATAAGAGAGTGTTAGAATTCTGAGATGAAAAGATGATCACAGTCTGAGATCAAGACTGCTGATATTTTATAAAGATAAATAATATTATTAATAAATAACTGTGTGAATATCTCTGAGAGAAGATTCACTGTGATGAGAATATAATAAGAGTATTTGAATCTTTTGCATATAATTATTAAAACTGTGTTGAATATGATATCTGTGACTGAGCAGATGAACTTGAGTAGATCTATTACAAAGTTGAGAGTGATTGTATACTAATTAATATCTGAGATGAGAATGAGTGTGAGCTCTCTGTATACTTAATAAGTAATAGACTTGAATTATCTGCATGCTTCACAGCTGTGTACATAGTTATTCATTTTATACTGCATGATAGATCATCAGAATCAACAGTTTATCAAGACATAGATTTAGTGAGATTCAAAGTGTTCTATGATGAGAGAGTTATGAAAGTTCTACAGAATAAGAACTTAAGTGAGTATATAATCTGAGATAAAAATCCTGTCTTTGTACAAGAGTAGATTATTCTCTATGACTTAATTTTCCAGGCTATTATAATCTGTTGAGAGTATGAGTAATTCAAGATTTTCAGAAAGATTGTTATGAATTATCTACTGCAGCAGCTCTGTGATATAATCTTCAGTGTATGACTATATCTGAGTGTGAGCAGGGATAACTGAGACTGACTCTACTATTTATACTACAGTGAGAGTGATGAGACAGACATTACAGAGTTAATTATAAAAGTTATTAAGAAATCTATGAAATATATTAATGAGTTCTGTAAGATTATCTGAATGTAATCAGTAGTCTGAACACTGACTGAATACATCTGCTAAGTTACTGTGATCTTTCTTATACTTTATACTGATATCAAGCTCACTTAGATGTTAAGCTCATCTTACTTAACAGTGACTAATAACCTTGATTATGAGAAAGAGTAGAAGATTGTTATAATCACTGTATATAACTATATTACAATAATTACTTCTGATGAAATGACTTCAATACTTGATTAACTTTATTATTACTAATATCTCTTGATTATAGATTCTATAGTTACACTTAGTACTTGTTATTTTTCAGCTATAGAATATGACTGAATATAAGTGATCATCAGAATCTTTCTGTATAAGAATTTCACTTATAATATATTTACTAATATCATAGAAAATGACTATGTCAATCTCATCTGAGTAGAATATAAGAAGAGATGTTTTAATGAAGATCTCTTTCAGTAAGAGAAAGTTAAAGTTCTCAGACTCTGTTTATGAAAAGATTTTATTAATCTTGAGAAGACTAGTTATTGACAGAGCTATCTTACTATAGTGATATATGAAGTGATAATAGAAGTGGTAAAAGCTCAGAAATTCATAAACATCTCTGATTGACTTAAGAATGAGTCATGCTACTATTGTCTCAATCTATTTAAGATTCATGCAGATGCTGCAATAGTTAATTATATAGTCTACAAGGTTCATTTCTTTCTGAAGAAAGTGACATTTGAAGAGATTGTATATTAGATAAGCTTTTCTGAATTTTTACAGTATCTGTTTAACATATTGTTAATAAGTATCTGAGTTGTGATCTTTAGTGTATATTATAACATCATCTATGTAGACTACTGCAAAATTATTAATATATAAGAGTAGTACTATCTGAATATATTGCTGAAAGTGACTGAATGAATTACAGAGATCAAAGAGTACTACAAGATATTTATAGTTATTATATTATATCTTAAAGACTGTAAGATGTTTGTACTTCTCTGCAATTTACAGAAGATGAAATGTATGAACTAGATCTAGTTTTGTAATTCAGTGTATTTCAGTGAAGTATTCAAGAAGTTCTGATATAAGAGATATTATATATTGATTTTTAACTGTGATAGCATTTAAATTTTAGTAATTTATATAAAATTATTTAATTTCATCTTTCTTCTGTGTGAAGAGTACTGAGAAGATATATACTGACTTACTCAAGTATATGAATTCATACTCAAGATTTTCTTCAATATATTTTTTTAGAAGTTGTAGTTCTGATTAACTTATATTATAGAGCAGACTC